AGGTTACAACTTTAGCTGTCTTTTATTACACCACCATACACTGTAAAACTCTCAGTGTGAAATTAATATTCCATGGTAGCGCTTCAATTATAGGTCATTGACTTGTTAAACACTATCAAATTTGACCTGGAGGTTAAAAGTGGTAATGGCCTCCATACAGAATCAAGGTATGTTTACTTTCTCCGTATCACCTTTTATCATTGACCAATATGTTCATTAAAAAAAGAGCCTATCAAGTAAAATGTTACTGTTCAAATTCCGGCGTGGACAGAAAAGCACCTTTGATATTTTCAAGCCAGGTATTGAATTAGAATCCTTCGCGTTGCACCCATAATCATAGAATTCAAATTACCATATGTTAGTTAAAATTTATTATGTGGACAAGATCCATTTGAATCTATTAAGTCTTGGGGAACACCATGCATCTGACACTTTTCTTCCTTTTCAAATCGCTGTTTTATTTATAATTCTACTGTATGACAGTACTATCAGTTCTGTCTGTATCTTGTTTAACGTTTTGCCTGAATTTTCAAGTAAAGACTATGCAATATGGGGACATTAAAGTCGCAATATATATGATATAATAGCTTTGCTGTTAAAAGATGTATTCAGAATCTAAAATTGGAGGACTCGATAAGTAAACATATATACCAAAGTAATGGGGTTGGCAATATACAGTTATGGTAATAACTTGTTAGTCATAAAAAATCTGTATCGACCACATAATATGATTATATGATTGGCATAAAATACCAGACTTATTTAATAAAATGACGTCAATTGGTATTTTAGGTTAAAAATTCTGCACCGGCTTACACCTATTTATATATAAATATGTTTTAAATACGTGCACTTTTACACCTTACACGTTCTTTTATTATTAAAAGTTCTAATTAAAATTTAACATATTTTGTAACTAAAGGTTTCAATTGATAAATCATTTTATGGTATTTTTTAAATATTTGATAAGAGAGTTTATGATGGTTTTACACATCTATATTAGTATGATAGATAGGATACGAGAAAATGGCGGATCACAATTAATTTATTTTCAGAGTAAATTACCTTGAAAATCATAAATCCGAGTCACACCCTGTGTTAAGACCTTGTATTAATTTATTCGTGAATTTACAAGCAAAATCGTTGAATAATTGCCAAAATTGCATTCCTTATGTGAAAAATAGTGCAAATCTGTTCATACTAATATCATACACTTAATATATTCAATTAAAGATTTTTTGCTTCACCCTATTAATTCACAAAAATGTGGCATATTTTTGGTAAAGCATCGGAATTGTGTGAGGTTTGATTTATCTAATTATAGCAATAATGAGATGTACTTTAAATGGGAGAAAGTGCATTCATTTTGATATTAGAAAACCAACATAAATTTAAAGATTATAAATCACGTTGGTACAATAGCACGCTTCCTTGGTTTTGATGTGTTAATATATTAAAAGATGTATTTAATTAAATTGAAATAGCTATTTATTCGAGCTTAGTGGTCGAATTTATTTAAAATTAGGTTAGAAAAATAGGTTAATTAAATTCATTTATAATGCTTGTATATTAAAGCTTCCTGTATATAGAAAATTATATATAATAGATAACAGCGCAATATAGAGTACAGACTATAACTTGTCATTGAGTAAAGCAGATATACATTTCATTCGTTTACAGTGTAATGTAATATAATATAGTAAGACTAACGTATTAACCCCGCACTTTACAAGTTTCAGTCACATCGTTGTATATATTTGTTAGTTTGGGATAAGAATTTCTCAACGGGTATGTATTGGTTTTTGTTTTCTTTAGTACATGTATAAATAAGTTTTACAACAAATTATACCGACCATCTTCGTTCGTTGGTCCCTTCCTTAAGGCTTGACGTCCGCTTCCACATTGGGTGATGTTGCAGACTAGGCGGTTATCTTAAAGATTGGGATCTTTTATTCTGTTTATGTGTGTGTGTGGGGGGGGGGGGGGGTAGCGAAAATGACACCGACTGATGCACAGTCCCCTAATACGAATGATGCAGCGACGAGCCGAGCACCACAGGGGGCATGCTTCCACGGAGCTGTGTTTGGATCTATAGACCCTGAAATGTCATTTCCTGGATTTTGCAGATTTCTGATGGTTACAACATACATATCATGAATAAAATTGAGCACTACGCAGGAATTCCTGTTATTTATTAAGAATTTTGCAAGAACCTATACAAAGTACTGTGAATCTGTGACAAATTCTGAAAGTGATAATTACATCATTTACATTGACTTATATCTTCGATATATTGTTGTGGTGAATATGCATAAATTAGCAAAGATATGACTTATGTCCTTATATTTTCATCAAGCATCCGCGCTTAGTCAGGTTAGACCAACCATCGGCGATTTTGTCAAGATCGATGATGTCCGTCAAGCTCACACACAAGAGACAATAATTCATTGACGAGTTTCTGTTTCAGTACTGAACGCCTAACAGTTTTTACTAATTTGAGCTTTGAAAAACTGGCGAGTATTGTAATATCTAATCAAAGCAATCCTGCGTATACACAGAATCCATACATACATTATATTATTAAAGATACATTATGGGGAGATTAGGTAAAGAACAGGCAGTTCTCACTATAATAGCTAAAAACTAGATAACGTTCCACTCTAAACCGAGATGTTAGCGATTGAATTTTCGGCCTAACCTCGATCATCATCAGACTATGTTGGTATACACGAACAGTTTACCCATGACTTTGGATTCAACTAGGGTGCGGTTGACCTTGGGTAAATTATCAACCTTTCTTATTACACACGTGATAACCCCCCTTTTTTTTCCTTGTACATATGACGACATCATTGGACCTAACACTAGCTTAAATTTAATACGGTTCTCGACAATGTCTCAATCCACCAATTTCACCTACAAATTATTTAAGCCATAGAAGATCACGGTCGATCAGTTTGCCCCAGGAAATAAGAACCACACAGGGTCAAAGAGATTTTTATTTCTGACATAGAGTATCGTTCTTTTTGTTTTCAATTTGTGGGATTAAGCACCAGACAAAAGTACATAGGTTGAATACATGATTTCAGTACCAGACAAATCCAGATAAAAGTACTTTGTGTGAGAGAGAGAGAAGAGAGAGAGAGAGAGAGAGAGAGAGAGAGATGGGGGGCTTTTTTGGACTATATTTTACTAGACAAGTGGACACCACGTTTGTGTTGGATGGCCAAGTCTCAAATCAATCTAATATATTTCCACTATCTACGAAAAAAAAAGATTTTATTCACAGAATTGGCGGAAATCTGACTCTGACCTTTCCATGTACATTATATTATATTATGTAATAATACTTTATGAGATTATACACTTGTTGTGTATGAATATCTTCTCAACTTTTTGCATCAGGCAATATAAAAGATTGGTCTTATGGGAAATATTTATGTGTGTGTGGGATTCCGTGTGGAGATACCGGCCTTGATAAATTTAATCAATGAATAATATTTCATTGAGACCGTCTGAGAGGAATATACCGAAGAAAATAGATTGAAAAATTTGAAACATGAAATAGTCTCATAATTCAAATAACGTTGAAAAAAAAACCTACGTGTACCACATAAAAGGCAGTCACTTTATGACGTCATTAAAGTAACACTCCGCCAAGAAAAGTATGTAACTATTTATCTTTTTATGTGTCAAAGTTTTTAACACTGACTTAATGGCGGTGTTTCCTCCTCACCGACCTCCCGCCCGCCCACCATCCACAAGAAAAAAGAAATCCGACAAAAAAAAACAGACCCCAATAATTGATCTACTACTAAGATAAGCGTCAGATCCGAATTTAGACTTTGTAAGTAACTGGGTTACATGTACTGTTAGGTCGTAACAAAAACATCTAAAAACATGTATGTGTTCTGAATCTAGGAATTTTTAGCCACAAGACACCCTTTGTATACAGTACTATGTTGTATATTTAATTCAGAGATATATATATACTTTGATCTATCGTTAATAAATGAAATAATTTAATCTTAATCTTAATCGCAGACCCACGGGTTACAATCCGCATGCCTTAACCCGGCTCGGAAGCGAGGATCAACAAATGTATGTTCAAACACCACAAAATACTTGATTAAATTTTACAGTTTCATCATCCAGAAATACAAAATATTGATACAGAAAGTTTGCTGTCAAATTTATTTAAATCATCTGGTAGGACATTTTGTCTTTGATAACAATCTGACATTCTCTTGAAGTCCTTGAAGTCTTGCTTCCATGGCACGTGATGTATTTCTATAGAATTAATCTAGGTTATGTAATTTGTGATATTCCGTATTGCCTTTTTTTTTTCTTTTTTTTTTTTTTTTTGCTAACGTGACGTTTGGAATATTTTATTATATATGAATATATTTTGAATTGACGATGTTTCCAATTATGAATTGACGTTATTTCAAATTATGAAGTGACGTTGTTTCAAGACATTATGTTAATCATATGATTGTGGAAACTACGGTGATTCGGTGGGTATGGAGCTTGCTTACTAACCAGAGGATCCCAGTGCAGTCACCCCATGCTCCTAGCCCCTTGCCCACTGCAGGTGTCTAGTGGTTCCGATGGTACGACAAACCGAGGTCCTAACGTGTACACATTGGTGTGCACGCGAACAGAAACGTAAGACCAGGGACGGATCCAGGAGTTTTTGCAGGAGAGGGTTATCCAGGTCACTGTTGAGTAAATTTGACAGTTGACAATGCATGATGCCATCATCGTCTCCAAATTACGTAGGCATACATAACACCCCGTTTAACGTCAATTTTTATTGTGAATTAATAGAATCACATGTGATTCATTTTCAATGATGCAAAGCCTTAATTGTGATGTCACATATGTCTATAATTTCTATAATCACCCCTCTACCTCCCTCTGGATCCGCCCCTGAGGTCGTTTAACCCCTTACCATTGGGTCAGTTTTGACAGTAATATGTTTCTCTTTATTATTTCAGATTCCGGAAAGTTACGTTGACACCGATGAAAAGAAGACAAAAGGACGATAAATGAAGAATTCAGATAATGGAACGTTAAAAGAGATGTTTGACCTGTGTTATGAAAGTTCGCGATTGATCTTCCATCCCCGCAAGGACTTAACACATGTAGATTTCGATGTTTACATGTTTACCTACATAATATGATATATATTTCAATACCTAACACATGGTGACGTATATTAGTTATAATACAGGCAATAAGTATGTATATTATCAATAACCTAGTAGTATTTATACCAATATCTTACAAAATATACAAAACACTATAACTGTATCGATTAAGAAACCAGCATTGTAGGCGTGCTTAGAACCCATGATGTAAACGACCATCAAAAACTATGGAGAATTTCAGCTATTGTGTAAACGATTCGGGGCAGGTTACCAATAATGCTATGGACGCCGGATTCATTGTGTCAACGATATGTCTAGGTATATTAGTATCAGTGGTCGTAGCCGGTAATATATTAGTCGTAGCAGCTGTTCTCACCACCAGAAAACTGCGAACAGTAACCAATATATTTATTGTGAACCTAGCGTGTGCGGATTTATTGCTAGGAATCTTTGTTTTGCCCTTCTCGGCAGCTCTGGAAGTTCTTGACAGCTGGATTTTTGGCACCATATGGTGTCATGTCTGGTTAGCTACAGATGTACTTCTGTGTACAGCTTCAATATTAAATTTGTGTTGTATTAGTTTTGATAGATACGTCGCCATAACGCGGCCAATGAAATATCCAGGTATAATGTCTTCCAAACGTGGGAAATTGCTTGTGGCAGCAACATGGATTGTGTCGTTTCTAATCTGTCTTCCACCGCTAATTGGTTGGAATGACGGAAATGAAACAACAGAATCAAAACGCTCTGAAGTGAATATTAGTCAACTTGTGATAAAGGATTACAATTCAAACTTTTCTCGCCATTTTATCGTCGACACATACATGTTAGAAAAAAACACCAGTGTGTCCACAAATGGGGAATTTCAGAGTGTACCCCCGGTGCCATGTCATGTAGTGCCAGTTACATGCGAACTTATTAATACCCGTGGTTATAGGATCTATTCAGCATTGGGTTCTTACTTCATTCCTATGTTTGTAATGGTGTTTTTTTATATAAGGATTTACAGGGCCGCAGTGAAGACAATTTCAGCCTATCAAAAGGGTGTTTTAACGACCAAATCAAACGGTGAAACTATGAACAACAAAGTGACTTTAAGGGTGCACCGGGGTGGTAGCTACATTAACCATAACAAAAAGGCAAATCGCCCAGGTAGTTCAAGTAGTTCGCCAAATAATTCTGAGCGCCGAAAATCAGAAGAAACATCTCTCAGTAGAACAAATTCCAAAAAATATGAATTGGGTACACCGTTAATTAACACTAATTATCAGAGACGCTTCCGTTCTCGTTACCATACTTACAATAAAAATAGCGAGTGCCCAACCTGTGAAACAACTATTAAAATAATCCATGATCCCCCTCCAGAAGACAGTCGTCACGATCGACAACTCTCATTAACTAGTGCCAATACTCCACGTGACAAAGATCAAAATTGTAAAAAGTGTTACCCTAGTAACGATCGCTTAAAACCGACAAATGGCGTTCGAATCAAGTTTTCAGGAAATAAACCAACACGCACTGCCTCTGCACTACAAAAGACCGGAAAACACATGAAAACGCAAATGCGAAAATTCAATCGGGAACAAAAAGCAGCGAAAACTCTGGCGATAATTGTTGGTGCTTTTATTGTTTGCTGGTTGCCTTTCTTTTCTATTTATCTCATCGGAGCTTTTTGTGATAATTGTATTCCTGCAGTGCTATTTTCTGTGTTTTTTTGGCTAGGTTACTGTAATTCAGCCATCAATCCGTGTGTTTATGCTCTCTTCGCTAGAGACTTTCGATTTGCTTTTAAGAAACTATTAACGTGTGGAATAAGAAGACAGCCGTGCAAATCGGCCTCGGATCTGGCTTCGATGAACCTCAATCACATACAATCATTGAACAATTTCAGTGACAACTCCTCCGAGAGCTGACTTTAGTATTTATTGAACAGCAGACTACTTTTAATTATTATTTCTAATTTATTGAATGTGACATAATAAAAAAGGTTGATATAAATTCATTGCCTCGCTGATTTACTCTGTAATTACAATAATTATGTAACGCTCTAAACACGAACTCCATTATTCAATTAAGAAATCACTGGTTCGAATAAATTTAGTGTTTTTGGAAAATCATGAATCGGCAAATAACGGTTAGTAGAGCTTATAGGGAAATAAGTCGATGCACTTTTTTAAGTAACCATAAAATCGAATCGAAAAGCAATAACTTAGAATTTCACTTATTTTTCAAGTTCTGGGTATTTATTTTTTTTTTCTAAAAAAGGCTTCCGCCATTTCTCGTGTGCAAGCGAGTTGTTTAACAGACCGTGGCGTGATTTTAACTTTTGATGGGACATAATAAAACTGTCTTGTGGATCTCGGCACGACAACCCAGATCCCATGTACATGCAGTCATAGATCCCTTGGAAATTAAAATACGGTTACTGCTTTGATGAGACATCTTAAAACTGTCTGGTGGATAGCGGCACGACATAGCTCTCTTAGTTATTAGAATTTGGTTACTGCTCTGGCAAAATCATTTCTCTGTACCTAAGCATCAGCCTTATATATTGTACATCGCGCGATGACGCACGAAGACATTCTACGCATTGGACCTTGTTGTGGGTGCAAAGGGTGGGGTTGGGAAAGTAGATATTCATATAAATCAGTGGTGTTAAAATGGCAATTTAGTACATACAAGCATATCTTACAGAAATCTTTACCCGCACCCCTATCACCTTTCCGCAATAAGTTTTACTAACTAATATTGGAGTTAGTGCCCTGGGCATCTTGACAATGCTACCCGTGTTTATTCATTTTTGTCCAGCCTAAGAGCTGTATCGGTACACTCCAGGTATGCGATATCACTCTCAGCGGCTGCTGACGAAAAGCCCCACAAACGAAATGAAATACAGTTTAACGTCCTACTATTTTGCACCGTCTGCTATGGTGGAAATTTTGCCTGGACGCCCTACTTTTTTTCCAAGTCCAAATGTCATGGGCTCTTTCAGGTGCGCGCCAATATACGCGAGACCTAGGTGTTTCGCCGCGCCGAACGACAAGACAATGTCCATGTGAACCCACACCAACAGCGTCTGTGGTAAACAAGACGCTGGCTCGCTAGCCTGGAGGTCGCGTGTTCAATCCCCGCATTGGCCGAGAAAGTTCATCGGGAGTTTCCGACGTGGTGCAGGACAGCTGTCTAGTCGGTGGGATTTTACGAAAAACCGAAGTCTCGTGTAAACATAGACGTGCACGTAAAAAATCCCTTGACAGTTATAATTCGATATAAGAGTAGGCCATAGTGCCGCTGCCCGGACAAAATTTCCCTCATAGCAGACTGCATGGCTTATGCAAGTCTTCATTAGCCCAGTATAGGAGCAGAACAGTAGGACGTAAGATCCCATTTCATTTGGTTTTGTTTTTTCAAAATCACAGAAATTATGCTTTTTATACGCGACTATATAAGTATAATAACGATAGTGGTTAAAGCTCGAATAACAGGTAAATAACTCTCGATCAAGGTATAGAGTGCCATCAGAAAATATATCATTACGTGTCTTCGTAACTTACAACAAATTCATGATCAATAACACATTCCCATGTTAAAACTAACAATTATCAGAATTGTATAGCACAATATTTTTTTTATTTGTATCATCTTTCAAAGGATACTAGCAGGCTTTGTAGAAACAATCCGTAGCTCTTTGAAAGTCTTTGAAGTGTTTCCCTAGCACCAAGGCAACTCTATTAAAAATGACAAAATCGGGAGATCTTCATTACTAGTGACGCACGTTACTTCCCATCGCAGCGATTCCATATTGTAAAGTTTACTTTGACAACATGTCCGGGAAGTTGACTGTGGGCTGAGATAATATTACTCTGATTTTAAAGACGGTTTATTTAATGTTATAAAGTATATTTTGGGGTATTGATCGAAGCTAGTTTATTATGATTGTTAAAAGGGTAACATGTTTATGGAATTGATTGTCTTTATTTTACCTACCCTAACTGCACTTCACTTTAACCTATAAGATCAAGTTCATTCAAATTGTCGTGTAGGATTTCTTTGCAAACTACCGTTGAATCCCTAATATCAGTAAAAAAAATGGTTGTTCCCAATGGTGTTCCATATGTAAACAAGTCCACCGCGTGGAGATTATCTCGCGTTTATATTTAATTCTCGAAAAATGCAAATAAAGCAGGTCTTTCTTTAGGCCAGAAATGTTATCTATATTATTTATTAGACATTAAAGATACATTATGGGAGATTAGATAAAGAGCTGACAGTTCTCACTATAATAGTTTAAAAAAAACTAGATAATGTAAAGGGAATTTGCTGTAAATTTCAGTCAAACTGATCCACTGTGAACCGAGAATTTAGCGATTGAATTTTCGGCCTAGCCTCGATCATCATTACTAAAGTCGGAAGGATAAAAAACATTGTCTCGATTATTCATTGCATGATTAATTCATGAATGAAAGTTGAGCAGCAAATCGGATCCTAATCCAGTAAATATCGCAGGAGTTGATTATGTCCTGGATAAGTTAATTAATGTCTTATTAATAATTTAGAGAACATTTCAGGCCTAAAGAAAGACCTGAAATAGGCAGATTATAGCTCTTTCATGATGTATGTTTAATTAACTTATCCAGCTAATATCTCGGTTCAGAATTGAGCAATTTGACTGAAATTTTTAGCATATTCTATTTACGTTATCTTTTCTTTTAACTGTTCTAAGGAGAGCTTCTAACTCTTTATCTAAATTCCCATAATGCCCCTTTTAATACAATTTTAATATAATACTTCTTGCTTGCCAAATTCTGTCCATAATAGTGTATGCCGGGGGGGGGGGTAACTGTCATGTCAGTACGAACATTTGTTTAATAATGATCTCTACATAAGATCATACATTCAGAACACAGAACATCCTGCGTTCTTACGACTTACTTCTGGTGTTTTATAAAGGAGACTTCATTAAGTTCATAAATAGATCACTGTGATTGGAAGAGCTGCATTTTCATTGGATGTTTACCTTGCACAAGTAATAACAACATGACACCGTGATCTTCGAATGTTCAATAGATCTGAATCCTGTAAGAAATAAAACGACACAGATGATTAAATTATCCGTCAAAATGATGTCTTAAAATATCTCTTGTAACCTGTCTACAGTTATATTTATAACTGGATTGGTTTCGATCCAATGAGAAATTACGAATATATTAGTTCAATCTGCAATACCCCCCCACCCCCGCCCCCAACTGCAGTCAACGGTGATTCGCAGAACGCGTAAAAACTAGGTATTTTCCAAAGATGGCCTTGTGTGATTAACAATGCAAGGAACCTCTGCCTTCTGTTGTAGAGGATGCCACAGAAATTCTAAATCTAAACATTCAAAACTAGTTATCTCTTTGTGGCAACACAAAGCATGTTTATAAACTATTTTTGTTCCAAACCGAGTTGAAAATAATATTAGTTTTCTAATCTATATCTATACTATTACCAAAGTAATCACTTTAAGAAACTGGATTCTGCGGTAATCAGAAACATAATTGAGTCTATTTATTTATTAGATTATCGGGTGGTTTTTGGCAACAATGGGTGTATTTATCATGCCAGTTTGTGATTTAAAATAAAACAATGCCGGGTTCTGTCTGAAACCAAACAGATGATATCCGCTCTGAGATTACTTAAAATATATTAGAGTCTTAAAATACGCCTATATGTCACTATATGCATTGGAAAAATGACAAATATGTAAATAAAACAATCCAAATCCCTCATGGCGTATGATCTGGCTCCCTGATCTGAAATATTTCATCGCTTATAGACTCATAAACTGGGTTATGCACTTTCAATATGTATTATATTTATATGTTCAATGCCCATGTGGGATTGCATTCTTATACAGTACGTATCTTTAAACGTTTATAATCGGCTAGAACGATGCCAATAAATCTAATATTACGAACATTCCAAGAATTGTTTAATTAGTCTGTTAAAATCCTCGTTCCTAAGATGATATTTAAATGAATAGATAATATGCAAACATCAATATGCGTCCTACACACTAAAAATACAGACATTTCTTAATTGTTTTGTATTTGTTTAATAAATGACACTTAAGGCAAGCACACATCCTCGAAAACTCTTGTACCTAGCTCACTAATGTGCCGAGAATGACAAATGTGGCATCAGAAACTGTCAATACAGGGATGTGATCATGCGTTATGTCTTTCATTGGTCCAATTACAAGCGAAAGAAGTAGACCTTGTACGTACTTTGTAAAAGCTTTTTTGTTTATCATATTATGGCTGTTTCCTAGTTGATGTATGAAATATAAAAATTGGTGTATCAAATATAAAAAATGGTGTCCAAATATACAATTTGGTGTGTCAAATATAAAAATTGCAATATCGGGTGTATGTGATGCATCATACTTTTTAACGATACAATGAAAACCATTTTTCGATAAGAAGAATGTGATTACTCGTAAAATTGAGGAGTAAAATTAACAGCCGCTCCAGATCCCAAAACTTTTTGTGAGGTCGAACATCGCTCTAATTAAGCCAAAGGTTTTAATGAATGGACGTGTTAAGATCCGGGTTGCATGTTTGGGTAATTAAGTCGAGCTTCATTTTAGCGAATTATAGGAAATGTACCAAAACGTCTTCTTTAGTCAAATGTATTTGAGTGATACATTTTATAAAAGATAAAAAGTAGAGGAGGACACCTTTAGTGAAACCTATTTTATTTTTATATTTTAATTGATAAATTCAAAATAAGCTTTTGTTAATTTTGACAAAATCATCTTCTAGACTTGCAAGGACACGGATGAGTGCTTCGTTTACCAATTACATCGATACATTTGATTTTAGAAATGCTGATTGCCAATAAATGACTGACCAAAATGGTGGCTGAAATTTGCAAACAACCTAATATGACCTGGGGTGACTTGGACATGGATCAAACCATGTGACTTCCGGTTTTCCTCCGAATGCTTTCCTACATTG